TGAGCACAGGAGGAATCAAAAGAATAAGAGAAAGTTGCTTTGATTATGTTTCCGACCCCCTTTTGGCTACCACTCAGTCCCAGATGTTTCCTCTCTCTTCTTTCTCTTCCCCCCTTTCAGGGTTATACTCCTAGGGCTTGGTTCAGTCTCTGCTTTGGTGCTTTCTGTTCTCTCTTTCTGAGCTGCACTGCGCCAGGCATTGGCCAGTCTCTCAAATTATCGCTCTTCAGAGAAACCCGTTGGCCGATGTAGCCAGCCCCTTGCTACGCCTACACTGGCATGATTTTCCGGAAATGCTTTTAACGGAAAAGTTTTCCGTTAAAAGCATTTTCGGAAAAGCGCGTCTAGATTGGCAGGACGCTTTTCCGCAAAAGCACTTTTTGCGGAAAAGCGTCCGTGGCCAATCTAGATGCGCTTTTCTGCAAAAAAGCCCTGATCGCCTTTTTTGTGGAAAACAAATCTCTGCTGTCTACACTGGTCCTTTCGCACAAAAGTTTTTCAGGAGCAGCATAGTATTTCCGCAAAAGCACTGACAATCTTACATGAGATCGTCAGTGCTTTTGCAGAAATTCAAGCGGCCAGTGTAGACAGCTGGAAAGTTTTTCCGCAAAAGCAGATGATTTTGCAGAAAAACTTGCCAGTCTAGACACAGCCCCTGAGTTTTAGAACTAAACAAAGTTTCCCCCTCCTACTTTTTTAATGGTTCCTACATAGGTACTTACCCAAATCTGTGATCCAAGCAGCCACCACACCATCTCTAATAAAATTAATACTTTGTTTTGAGTTCTTGAGCAGGTGAATGATGCAGAAAGTCTGGTTGCTCAGCAGGTTTTATTCTAGTTACAAGAATAATTGGCTTAGAACAATGATCTGGTTTTTTTTTCCACCTGGGTGGAAATCATGAGCTCTTCTGTGGAATTTATTCTTGATTAGGAATTTGCCTCTATAACATCTTATTGAGTATCATTAGGCAATGCTGATGAAATACTGCTCTCTTTATTTTTAAACTAGAAGATTTACCCAGTGTTGCTTGGATCTTTAACTCCAAAAGGTTTTGTTTAATTCATTTAAATCATTGCTCTGGGTGGCGCGGGGGTTGAGGGGTTTAGTATGCAGGCTGCCCTAGAGAGAGAGGACTACTCCCAGCCCTCTCTTACCTCAGCAGCTTAGGTCAGGTGAGAATCTTCTCTCCATGGCTGCAGTGGGCACAACTGGGTGAGAGGTACGTGCCCCTCGCTGGGTGACAGTCACACCGATGCACAAACAGATAAACTCTCTGAAATATATAGTGTATAGCTGTCCCTTTCTTCACTACTGTCCCTCTACTGGACCAATGGGGTTATAGTTGTCTCAGTCCCCATTTCTGTCCCTTAGTCGTCACCCTCCTTTACCATTTTATGACAAACAATCAAATTCCACGCACATCTCATTGTCTTGGCACAAACAAACCCTTGCTTTGCTTTAAGTTGTTATAAGAGGAAGCTGCATACCAAATTTGGTTGGTCCTAGCTCTTACCGTTTAGTTATTGAACAGACTTGCAGATGGACAGACAGACACACACATCTAAAATATAAAATAAGTAAATTTGTAAATTGGTAAGGTTCCCTGTTGACTCCAAAAGGTCCCAGAAGTCAGGCAGAGAATAAAGCCAGTGGGAAAGGGAGGAAGCTAGTTCCTTATTTCCTAGTCTGCTTAGCACTAATCTTACATTTTAATGCCATATAGCAGGGGTGGGGGAACATAAGGCCCAGGGGCCATATGTGGCCCCTGGCTTGCCTGAATCTGGACCCCGAGGCTTGGGACTCTCCCCTAATATTTGGGAGTCTGTCCTGGCACTCCAGTCCCTTCCTTCCCTCTGCCCTTCTAATGGCCACCTCCCACGTGGGCTAGAGCCCACAAAATCTACTAGCCTGGGCCTGCCTATACTCTGGTGTCTGAGGGGAACGTGGGCAGTGCCTTTCTGCTTCTCGGTCGGCAGCCACATCAGTTACGTTTTTTTTCTTTTTGTGTCTCACTTGTGTGTGTCCCCCAACTGATTTTTGTTGTGATCAGTGGCCCCCAACCCAAACAAATTTCCCCATCCCTGCCATATAGCATTGTAAAGAGAAAGCAGTTCATTCAAAACATGTATTACTATATTAAACTAAAATGTGCTTTCCTTGCTCTTGGACAGGAGGCCCATCACTTGACAGCATTAAAAACCACATGACCGTCAGCCAATTTTTAAAGACTGTAGAAAACATTTGAACTGTCTGAATAATTGAGAGAATATTTTTGCTTTCTTACATTCAAAATTTGCATTCTTCTTATCAAATTATATCATTTGTCCTTTCAAATGAACAAATGATCAAGATGTGTGATGGGTTCAAACACACATTTTTTTGGTTCTGTAGTCATCAATGAGATGGTTTGTGTGGGGGGGGGGGAGCATTTGATGTCTGATGAAAGAGGCAGATCAACTTAAAAATCACAACTTTGTCTGAAAATGTTAACACCCACCATTTGCAAGCAATATTGTAACCAAATAGACTATACTGAATCAGATTGTTCACTCTGCATTTGACAGCACTCGGTGTTTAGTCAAACAACAAATAGTCTGGTAGCACTTTAAAGACTTAACAAAACATGTATGGTATTATGAGCTCTTGTGGGCACAGCCCACTTCTTCAGATGACGGACAAGTTCTGCCAGACTATTTGTTGTTTTTAAGTTTGTCCTGTACAGACTAACTCTGCTACCCCTCTGATGTGTTTAGTCAGTTACTATTTCCTCAGCAGAGTTAGTCATTTGCCCATTTGGACTGGTGTCTTATTCAGCATCATCAGAAATGGGAGGAGAGAAATCTTTTGCAATATATAAATGGGTTGTATAACAATACAATTTGACTAAGGAACTTGAGAGAAGGCATTGGCTCTGAAACTGCTTGTAACTCCTCATTTGAAATGGTTTAGATTTCAGGTTTGCCACAAAGGTGTCGTGCATTGGGAAAACTCACTTTTTTTAAAGCAGACTCCTTCCCCTCATCTACACTACAAACATGTACATTTTTATGACTGTGCTCACATTCATTTTTCACGACGTTAGAAAAGTTTCTTAAAGAGGGCTATTAAATATTATTTCAGCTAAAATAGTGCTGCCTGTTTGGGATACCTGAGACATAAATTACTTAAAATAGTTTGTTTTTAAAAACAATGTTGTGTACACTGGCTGATATGACCATGTTAGGTTAAATTAGTTTTCAGTCCTGGTCGAACAAGACCAAATGCATTAGGTTTACTTTGTGATAGTTTGCAGTTATGTTCCCTATAATCTTTTCCATCCATGTGCAGAATAAATTTTTATGTCCTCCCTGGTCTGAGTGAACGTGCACCACCAGTGGAAACTAAAAACCTAGTTGTGATTGCTCTGCTAATCAGCTGGGCAGCATTTGAATCTCTTTTGAGCATCTAGAAAAGTGCACAGCTTACAGGGAACACTGCCTCACAGTGACTTATTTTTCTTTTGATTTAAGGAGATGAATGTGCCTTTATTTATTTTAAATACATTTTAGATTTTTCCAGGGAATATAACAGAAAATCCGCAAGTCATGTTACCTTGTAAGTCAACTGATTTTTCATTGTTTCAGCTCATGAGTTACAATGAGCATCAATGTTTAATTTGATATGTATACTAGAATTAAAGCAGAAACCTAAGTGGCTTTAATATTTGTCCTACTTGTACAGTTGCACTCTTGCTGAAGTGTGTGTACTTGCCACTGTCAGCAAAAGAGAAAAATAGCTAAGGAGAGAAGAATGTACATTTGGGATCCACCTAATGGATTTTAAGTTTTCTATTTATCAGTCTCGGAAGGGTAGCCATGTTAGTTTGTAACTTTAAAAACAAGTAGTCCTGTGGCAACTTAGGGTATGTCTATATTGCATTCCTCTTTCGAGAGAGGAATGCAAATGCAGACAAAAGAAATTGCAAATGAAGCGCGGATTTGAATTTCCCGCATTTTCTTTGCATAGTTGCGTCCGGCTGCTTTTTGAAATACACTAAATAGTGTAAGTGTTTTTTCTCAAAATAACCGCGTCTACACAGCGTTTTTTATCTCGAAATAGGGTATTTCGAAATAGCAGCTGGACGTGATTATGCAAATGAAACGCGGGAAATTCAAATCTGCGCTTCACTTGCAATTTCATTTGTCTGCATTTGCATTCCTCTCTCGAAAGAGGAATGCGGTGAAGACATACTATATATATTTTTGTTATTCTCAGGGACTGTGTCTAGACTGGCAAGTTTTTCCGCAAAAGCAGCTGCTTTTACAGAAGAACTTGCCAGCTGTCTACACTGGCCGCTTGAATTTGCGAAAGAACACTGATGATCTAATGTAAGATTGTCAGTGTTCTTGCGCAAATACTATGCTGCTCCTGCTCGGGGAAAAAGCCCTCTTGTGCAAATGCTTGTGCGCAAGATGGCCAGTGTACACAGCTAAAAACTGTTTTGTGCAAAAAAGCCCCGATGGTGAAAATGGCGATCGGGGCTTTCTTGCGCAAAACTGAGTCTAGATTGGCACAAATGCTTTTCCGCAAAAAGTGCTTTTGCGCAAAAGCGTCCGTGCCAATCTAGACGCTCTTTTCTGCAAATGCTTTTAACGGAAAAACTTTTCTGTTAAAAGCATTTGCGGAAAATCATTCCAGTCTAGACGTAGCCTAAGGGTATCACGAGCTTTCATGGGCAATACCTACTTCTTCAGATGAACTTGAGTGGAGGGTTATCTGAAGAAGTGGGTTTTGTCCATCAAAGCCCATGCTACTATACAGATATTTTTGTTAGTCTCAAATGTGCCACAGGATTACTCATTCTATTTATCAGTTTTGTTTCTCTCAGTAGCTGTCATATCTGGTCTGGTGACAGATAAAGTCCTTGTGGGAGGAACTTGGAAGTGCATTTTAAAATAATCAGTGAGATGCACACCCACTCAGAAGTTGAGTAACAGTTTTGTTCTTTTATTTTACAGATCAGAACATTTCTAACTGTGCTTTTAAAAAGAGCGGTGAGAGAAGATGGATACTTTCTCAGACATTTCTGCAAAGAACCTCTCCCCTTCAGCCAACATGTCACATTGCCTGCCTGGCAATTTGGACGATCAATTCAATGTTACCAGCAGTTCTCCTTCTATGTCAATAAGTAGGCTTTTCCCTGCCTTGCTACAATGCTTTGGCATCATACTCTGTGGATATATAGCTGGAAGAGCCAACATCATCACGTCAACTCAGGCCAAAGGACTGGGAAATTTTGTCTCTTGTTTTGCACTCCCAGCTTTACTATTCAAAAACATGGTGGTACTTAATTTTTCCAATGTGAACTGGTCCTTCCTTTTTAGCATCCTGGTTGCCAAAGCTTCTGTATTTTTCTTGGTCTGTATTTTAACATTATTGGTAGCCAGTCCTGAAAGTCGGTTTAGCAAAGCAGGACTGTTCCCTATTTTTGCTACACAAAGCAATGACTTTGCACTGGGGTATCCCATAGGTAAGAATTACCAATTATGCTTTCCTTCTTTTGTTAACTTCTGTTTTTTATTGTCCTAGGCACTTGCTCTCTGTACAGTCTTATACACACATGCTTCTAAATTTGAACTGTTTTACACTCTGCAAACTTGGGCTGTCAGCAAACAAATATACTTGCACAGAGCCATGCTTATGACTTCAGATGTGTTGACTGGATGACTCTGGGAATACAGAATAGGATATAGAGTCTTTTGGCTGTAATTTGTCAGTTTGCATCTACCCCAAGTATATAGGGACCAGAAGTAGGGAAGAATTTCCATCGACTAGTTGATAAAGGGATTATCTACTAGGGGCAGCACAAGCTGGGACTGATCAGTCCTCACTTGCACTAGGTCCCAGACTGCTGCAGCTCTGCTTTTTAAGTGTAGTATGAGCCACCTGGTTCTTACTACATTAAAAGGCAGAGGAGCAGCGAGGGACTCGGTGGCTCTTAGTACATTTAAAAAGCAGAGCTGCAGCGGTCTGGGACCCAGCGTGAGCCAGGACTGCTCAGTCCCATCTTGCACCAGGCCTCCTGCTGCCTCTCTTCCCTCTCCTGCAGCCTTCTCCCCTTCCCTTCCGCCTGCCACCCCCATGGAGATGGCTCCATACACTTATCGGACCATTAGTAGTGGCTTTGTAGTTACAGCGTATTAAGCCAAAGATATATTGGCTCCCATTTATTGGGATTCCAGTTCATCGAGAGTGTTGTTTAGGGTTAGGGTTAGGCTTAGGCTTAGGCTTAGGCTTAGCTGTTCAGTGGTCTCCATATCATGAATTGGTGATCTTAGTTTGGTTTTCAGTGGACAGACGTCCACATTCATGTTAGCAGTGTCAATAGAGAAACTAATAAATAAATAGGCCAAACTAACATGTCATGCACGCCAGTGAGCCTTGTTAAGTCCGTGTTGAAGCACAATAGCAGGGCAGACTAAGGAATTTTGTGTTACTGCTTTTTGTGCTGTACTCTTTCTGTATAAAGAGAGTATTTAATTCTCCAAAGGAATCAATCTGATGTCAATTGTGAGCAATAAACTTCCCTTAAATGTACCTTTTAAATAAAAATTTAGTTTTGTGTGAAAACTTTCCTAAAACTATACATCTTTCATGCACAGTAAATATTTCTAATGCAATATATATTGCAGTACAAAACTTCCGCAAAGATTGGACATCTTCCCATCCCCCCCAAATGACTTCACACACACATCTGGTAGATTTGACTGAAATAAATATTGATGTCCTATAGTCATGTTGCTCTTTGTACTGTTGTCACAGAGTTATGGGTGGCTGCAAAGGCTCATCATTTATAATGTTAGCTTTCTTTTTGTTTCAGAATTTTTTGTGTTTCCACAAATTTACAATGTGGAATAAAAATCTTATTATGAATGGATAATTAAGGGTTTACTACGCCCCTAGAAAACATGCTGATTTCAATTCAGGCTACTAGAGTTGCCCCAAACTTTAACATTCTGAAGGTGCAACTTAATTGTACATTTATATACTATTTCATCTTCCCTTGTTCGCCAAATGATAAAACTTCAAGTTGCATAAATATGGAAGACTTAATAACACTAGTTGCAATGAAAATGCTTGCACATCAAGTAAGAGTATGTTTCTTGATGCAGTGCTATATAGACAGTCTCTACTGTAGATGCAGGAAAGCAAACCATTATTAGAGTGGTCTGGAGTATTTTCAGTAGTCACCTGGGAAAGGTGAAGTAGGGCCTTATCTACTCTACACTACCAAGTTTTTGTTGCCAAAAATTGCCTTTTGGCAACAAAATGGTGAGAATGTACACACTGCAATATGCCTTTGTCAGAAAAAAACCATTTCCATCCCTAAAAGAGACATTTTTCTTTTTCCCTCCCTTTATTGTCCACAAAACTGGTTTCCACCAGTATCCCACCCACAATGCCTGTCCTGATCATTCTGTGTTTTGATCTCTGCTGCTCTGCAGGCATGCGCCCCTCCTCTTGTAAAGCTCCAAGAAGTATCTGAGAGCTGAGCATGCTGCTCCATTTGTGGATAAAAGAAAGAGCAAATCCTTGGACTACTCCTGCATCCCAGCTGAAGCAGCCCTTGCCTGGAAGGGGGCGCCTGGACCTGCCACAGGCAGGGGGTGGTTTTGTCCAGGCCGGG